GGGATGTACTCCTCTCTTTATTCACTAAGGAATATGGGAGTTTTGAATTCCTGACGTTTTCCCCCCCAGTGTGTTGATTCCATCCCTGAGGTGTTTGTCACAAACACTGGGGGTTCTGCCTTGAATTTGGAAACTCCTCTGGCTCTTTCAGCCTCAGCACTTGTCTGTTGTGTCTCAGGCTGGTTCAGGTACAGGGATCTCTCCTCCTGGGAGGGGAGCAGCTCTGGTGTGTGTCTGTGGGGTTTTGTGGAGATGAATCATCAGTTAATACCTGTCAAACCCAGGTAGTCACAAGAACCCTCCAATATGCACCGTATTGACTCCCTTCTTGTTTCCCGGCATCTGAATCCCATTAACAGCTGTCAAAACCTGGTAAACTATTTATATGCTTTCACAATTTGTTTAATTGGATAGTTAGGAAATGGCAGACAAGAAAAGCTTTTCTTTTTTCTTTTTTTTTTTTTCCTTTAGTCTGGCTGAACATCTGTAGCATTAGGGGCTCATTATCTCTGAATTGGCACAGCAAATCAGCAGCATCATTAAAATGCCACATTAAGATGATTAAGTTTCTTTGTTACCCAGTTGACTTTTTGCATGTGCTGAGGATTTCACGATTATGACCCCACTCCTTGTAAAACACTTGAGCTACATCACCCTTTCCTGCGTTGTCTTTAATGGCTTCTGGGTTTTATTCCTTGTGCTTTTCCTAAAGCTCCTGGTAAACTTTGCTTAACAACAGGACAAAAACTTACCTTCTCTTCTCTGTATTTGAGGCCAAAGTCTTGGATTAAATGGAGGAATTGGGGGATTTTCCTTCTGAAACCTCTTCATAGAGAAAACAGCTAAGATTAAGAAACCTTCCACGTCGTTCTAATTATTTGTTGCTCTTGACTTTTTTTATTCCTGCATTTTCAACCTGGAGAAGAGGAGGTTGTGTCGAGACCTCAGAGCACCTTCCAGGATCTGAAGGGCCCACAAGGAAGCCAGAGAGGGACTGTTTATCAGGAACCAGGGTGACAGGACAAGGGGGAATGGCTTCACACTGAAAGATGGGAAATTTAGGTTGGATATAGGGAAGAAATTCCTCCCTGTGAGGGTGGGGAGGCCCTGGCACAGGTTGCCCAGAGAAGCTGTGGCTGCCCCTGGAAGTGTCCAAGGCCAGGCTGGACGGGACTTTGAGCAACCTGGGCTAGTGGAAGGTGTCCCTGCCCATGGCAGGAGGTGGGACTAGAAGAGCTTTAATGTCCTTCCAAGCCAAACCCTGGGTGATTCTCTGATTTTACAGAGCACACACAAGCACTGTTTGGGTGGTGACTCAGTCTGAAGTTGCCACCGCAGCTTTATTTTGGATTTTTTCCAGAACCCATTGTTTTTACAGTGTTTCAGGTGAAACAAAAATATTACTCTGGAGTATGTCTTTCATCTTGTAATCATCTCCCCAGGAAATGAAACCATGTGCATCAGCCTTAACGCATCACACCAGTACTTTGTTGTGTAAAAGCTGCAGGTTTTTTTTTTCTCAGTGTATATTAACTCCATGAACCGCCTCAAGAAAAATAGTTCCCTGGCTTGGACACCACGGGTGGGTTGTTTCTCTTACAACCTCTTTACTTTCCTGATAGAAGAGATGACAGCACTTCTTTTTTCCCCACTGTGGGAACTTGGTTAGTGCTTTTAGGGATAATTGTGTTTTTCCTCAGTTAAATTTCCCGTTTCTACATGAAGTCACATTCACCTTCCTCTTGATTAAGGTGGACCAGCCTGGAAACTCCCTGGTCTGATTAAAATAGGTTGATATGATTTTTAAGTGACGGATACAAACCTTCCACAGAGCTGCCAATCTCCTGATCTCACGGCGTTCCCTGTGCGTGCCAGGGCAGAGCAAAAGTCAGGGCTGAAAAAGGAATTTGATGCTTCCAGACTCCGCGACCACTTGGTTAATTTTAGTCCGACTTGCACTGAGCCATTTTTTCCTCAGACTGTTTTTTACCAAAGCTGTCTCCCCTGTGGCTCTCAGGGAGGCACAGCAGCCTCTAAACCATAACAGGTGAAAAATTCCAACCCTCCTAACGTATATTTGCTTGAAAACAGTCTCTTCCCTTGTGGCTTCTGCTGTTCTCAACCATCAGAAAGTGAATTTTTCTGTTGAGGTGCTTCTAATGTCTGCATGAAAGCACTCAAGCTCTGCTGGGATGTCATGGACAGCCAGAGCAATGGTGACCATTTTTTGGGGGGGATGTAGGGGTGGAAAACAGTGAGAGCTCAGGTTCACAAGGAAACACTCTGTTACTACAAGGAAACACCAACCTGAGGTGCAGCATGGAAATGTCAGAGGTGATTATTTTCCTCATGGGATGGTTTGCCCAGGACATGCCAGGGGGGGGTCCCAAACCGGGCGATGCCACACCAACCCTGGCACAGCTCCGGAGCTGAGTCGGGAACCGTGGTGGGAAACAGCAGGAAACGGTGCAGGAGCCTCCACTGGAGGTCACGGCATGGCCTCCACGGCCAAAGAGCCGCGTGCGCCGCGGGCGAAAGGTGAGACGTTGGGTAGAAAGTGGGAATTGAAATTGTGTCTGAAAGTACCAACAAGGTGCAGCTGCACCGGGTACTTCCTTTTTACCGCGCTGGGCAGGATGTAGCAAATTATTTTGGAACTGCCTCCCTTCGAGAGGGAAAAAAACAACCAACCAGCCCATCAAAAAAAAAGCACTTTTTTTTTTTCTTTCTGGAAAAGAAACTGTGCTGAAAGCTGCTGTCAGCAACTGGCAATCATTTTTCCTTGGAGTGATGGAAATGGATGTATAAACTAATTTTGAAGGAATCTTGATAGCAGGATCGCCCTCGCAGCCTCAGACATGAAGTTGGCAGCAGAAGGCACCGGCAGAGGAAGCTGGAATTCATGGGATGTGAAGCAGAGCTGGTGCTGAAGAATCCACGGAGAAAACCAGCCCATTTGGGGTGAATTTGGAACTCTCTGTGACCCTCTGAGCAAACACCCAAACCCGTGTGAGCTCATCAGGGACCAGGGCAACCAGTCCCAACACCAACCTCTAAGCATTGTCTAGGACAGAGGGATAAAAACACACAATATGGGGGGAAACCCCATCCTTCTGTGGATATCCTCATCCACGGAGAGCACAGGAGGGATCTTGGAGTTTTCCACACTACCACAGTCTTGTGTGGGATGAAGGAATCATCACCCACCTTTTCCCTCTGCCTCAACTTAGACAGTTTGGCTGGGCTTAGTGAATAATTTAGGACAGAGGAGCAATCTTCTCACTAAAATATAGTTGAAAATTTTGATTTCATGGAAGTTGGGGTTGCCAGATCTTTCTTTTTCAGCTCTGCTTTTATGTCGCCACCTCATTTTCGCTGCCACCCATTGTTTGTTCTTGGTATTTGATGTGGTTTATTACTCAGAACCAGAGCTAATACATATTCAGCAGTTTGTGTTCTGTACTTGGGAGAAAGGTTCAGTGCCAGATTGAACTGTCTAACCCTGGGCTGCAGGGAGGAGCAGGTGGCCAGAGAACAAGGCTCTTGAACAGGAAGCCACGTGGTGCATCTCGTGGGGCTTGTCTTTGCTGGGGAGCTTGAGGCATAAACTGGAGTTTCAGCTGTGGTTTGTCTCTGTCAGAGAATCATGGAATGCTTTGGGAAGGGAGGGACCTTAAAGCCCACCCAGTCCCACCCCCTGCCATGTCAGGGACACCTTCCACTAGCCCAGGTTGCTCCAAGCCCCGTCCAACCTGGCCTTGGACACTTCCAGGGATGGGGCAGCCACAGCTTCTCTGGGCAACCTGTGCCAGGGCCTCCCCACCTGCACAGGGAGGAATTTCTTCCCTATATCCAACCTAAATTTCCCATCTTTCAGTGTGAAGCCATTCCCCCTTGTCCTGTCACCCCAGTTCCTGATGCAGAGTCCCCCTCCAGGTTCCTTGTGCTCTGAGGTCTTCACACAACCTTCTCTTCTCCAGGCTGAACAGCCCCAGATTTCTCTACCAGCTTTAAGCAGAAAAAAAACATCCTGGCAATCACTGAGGGTTTTAGTGGAAGTGCTGGAGTTAACAGTGGAGAGGAAATGCAGCACCATAAGTTGGGAATCACCAGATGTTTATACAGTGTGACCCATTTGCTTATATTTTCACGTTGTTAGTAAATCATTAGCTACTTGCTACATCCGCCTTTGTCATGGAGCTGCATTCATTTAGGCAATGCCTCTGGATTCCTCTGGACATGGAGACAGGCCCAGGAACCTGTTTGAAGGCCATGAATGCTGATCTTCAGGAGGCTTTGGGTTCTTTGCTGCACCCTCACGATGCGACTTTGGACAAATCTTTTGATTTTTCTGGGATACGTTTATTTATCAGGAAATCCTTCCCCTGCCTCTGCTGGTTTTACTCACACAGTAAATCGGGACTGTCGACTGCTCCTCACACATCTGAGAGCTGTGGATAAAAATTGTGATTTTCAAGTGTAAATTGGGATTATTGATTAGGTTTAAATGAGGAGAATCTCTGCCATGGGAGCACTGGGAGTCTTACACTGCTCAGACACATTTCGTAGGAGTGTTCCAAGCACCAGAGATTCCACAGGAAGATAAAAGTTACGAGATATAATTATCCTTTTTAATTTGTGTCTTTCTGTATTTCCAGTTCACAGGAGCAGACTGAGATGCTGATTTCTATAGAAATAATAATTGTGAGTGATGTGAACAAGTGTTTTCTTTTGAATCCTGACTAGTTCCCTGTCATTTCAGGAGAAGTTTGTACTGTATTATGCTTTCATAATCTGTAAAAAGAAATTATCCATCAGGCAAGGTTATCTCACTAAGTGTCCATGACCAGTTTAATTTCTTCATCTTTGGGGTTTCAGTAACACTTTTAGGAAATGGATAATGTCATTTTATATAATTTTTGGTTCTTTTTTTTTCCTAAGGTACTTCTCTGTGCACAAGATGAGCGTCTTTTCACTCCTGTGCTTTGTTTTACCTGCAGATCATGTGATTAAAGTGAAGGGTGAATACAGTGAAAGAGAGGAGAGTGCTTTAAATTCCGAGGCTATGGAAAACCAAGAGGAATCTGAACTGCCTTACGCCTATCCCAGAGAATATAACGAGTATGAGAGCATTAAACTGGAGAGACACTCGGGTTCCTATGAGCACGTCAGGCCAGCTAGTGGGAAGATGACTTGTGATATCTGTGGATTAGCCTGCATTAGCCTCAATGTCTTGATGGTTCATAAGCGTAGCCACACTGGTAAATATCCCTATGTTGTTCTTGTAAGAGCTGGGTACTGACAGGATAATGATTTTTAAATCAGACTACTTATTTTAAAAAAGGATCCCAAACCCAGGCTTTCCTTGTTCTGTCCTGGACGCCACGTGTGATCTCTAGCAAGTTACCCCCTGTTCTGTGCCTCACTTTACCCACCTTTCTTCTCAGCAGGATTGAATGTTATTAAAAGCATTTTTGTGAGGCATTTTAAGAATTTTGGATGAAAGGCACTATGTGATGTCAGTGTTTCATGCACAAAGCACGAGTTAGTTTGGTTTTGTGCTGCCATTTCCAGCCTGTGTATGTACTTCTCTCTGTGCTATACTTGGGCAACAAACCAATGAGCATCTTAAGTTTCAACCTGCAGTAAGATAAGGCTTTTTTTTTTTTTTCTTCTAAAAATTGCTGGCTTGTTGGAATCAGCCTCCTCCAGAGCACTTCTTTCCATGTGCAGTGCTTTCCATAGTCGTACATATGCTACGAGCAGCTCTGACACCAGAGCTGCACCTCCCTCCCACTGAAATCCCACTCTGTGTGTTTCTATAGAAAGAAGTTGATCCAGTATCTCATTCTTTCCTCTTCCAAAAAGGCAGAGGGCGACCTGATACCCACGTAACCATTAAATGTCCTTTTCTGTATGTCATTTTAAGGTGAACGGCCATTCCAGTGTAATCAGTGCGGAGCTTCCTTTACTCAGAAGGGAAACCTCCTCCGCCACATTAAACTACACACAGGGGAAAAACCTTTTAAGTGCCACCTGTGCAGTTATGCCTGCCAGAGGAGGGATGCGCTTACGGGTCACTTAAGGACACATTCTGGTAAGTGACTTCACAGGCACCTCACGTGGTTCAGGTGTGTGTCACTGGGACACTCGGGGTGCGAGAGACAGTCAGCAAGGTTTGCTCAGCCTGCTCGAGAGCCCACACGGAGCAGGGAGCACTCCCTGTGCCCGTGGAACACACTCAGGCTCTGCTCTCAGTGCTCTGAGTGCGGGGGAACACGTGTCACAGCCCACAAACCTCCTTGCACAAACACCTCTGTGGGATTTTCACAGAATCAGTTAGGTAGGAAGAGACCTCCCAGGTCATCGAGTCCAACCTTTGACCCATCACCAGCTTGCCAACTCATTTTCAGATGAGTGGAGCTGGCTTTGCCAGCAAGCTCTGAACTCGAGGAGCTTTGCTGGGATTTCCTCCCATCCCATCCTGAGCTGTGAGGAAAACTCCAGGAGCACAATCCTGGACAGAATGACTCTATTGCCAATTGACACCTCTCTGTGGTCTAGTGCCTTTCATCTGAATCTCTTAACATGCTCACAGATGGTTCTTCTCCAGCCTGGTAGGGTGTTCTGTCCATTTTACAGATGGGGAAATGGAGGCACAGAGCTGAGGTGACTTGAATAACAAGCCAGGTAAAAATTGGTCTTAGTTCCCCCAGTTCTGCAGGAGCCAGGTTGTGCTTGCCCTTGGATTTGTCTATATCCTGTGTTCTACAAGGGCTCAGAAAGAAAACATTGATTCTAAATGACAGATTTTTATCTCTGCACTGCACTGCACAGAAAAAAAGTTCAACCTCACAAAGAATCAAAGTCAAAAATGAGCTTATCTGCCACGGATAAATGAGATTCTGATTTAATCAAGACCAGCAGAGTGGTGGTGACTGTCCCCCCTAAAACCTGGCCTTGGACACTCCCAGGGATGGAGCAGCCACAGCTACTCTGGGCAATCTGTGTCAGGGCCTCACCACCCTCACAGGGAAGAATTCTTCCTACTATCTAATTTTAGAGGATGTCTGTTCCCAAACCAGTACTGAGATAATTTAGGAAGCACTTCCAGTTCTGGTGTATGAGGCACCGGGAAAGGCTGTGTGGGGATCTTGAGTTTCAAACAGGTTTGCTTTAGTTTAAATGAATTAGGAACATCATTCCCTCTACAACAAATGCCTTTGGAAATGAAATCAGTTTAATGAAATCCTTGAAGAATTCTGTACAGGCAGGACCCAGGTCAGGCACTCAGGGCTGTGGCAGTCCTGGTTTGGCAGCGGTACTGTCAGCCTTCCCTAGGGAAGCTACTCCAAGGAAAGCTGTTACAGGGCTCTGGGAACAGTGTTCTTATTTAAATCCTCTTCTTAGGGTATGGTCCTCTTCTTAGAGCTTAGGGTATGAGGAGGAACTCTGTGCATCTGGTGGTTTCACCCTCATGTCACCCCAAATTTGTGATGATTAAACTCAGCAGGAATTTTGAGCATTCTCCCTGAGCTGAACATTGGCTGTTGGTAACTCCTGAATGTCAGGAGAGGGTGTTTTAGTGGTCTCTTGCAGTTATTTTAACGAAGTTGTTATTTATTTTTTTCCAGTGGAGAAGCCATACAAATGTGAGTTTTGTGGCAGGAGCTACAAGCAGAGGAGCTCTCTGGAGGAGCACAAGGAGCGGTGCCGGACTTACCTGCAGAACGCTGGCATGTGTGAGGCTGGTGAGTTTATCACAGCCCCGTGGTTTTGGGGGTTTGGTGCATTACAGGGCTTAAAAAAGGGTGTCTGGTGAGCTGTTAACCCACAGCCTGAGAACAGCTTTTCCTTCGCTTGTTTTCAGTAACCCGAGGGGCTGTAATGTTATAAAGGGGCTGGTTCAACGCAGCCCTCAGGCAGGTAGTTAAAGAGTGCTTTCATTTTAATCCCTTTTTTATTTCACAGTTACTTTGAATAAAACATCTCAAATACCTTGTACCCAGCATTTCTGTAGGTGATACTCACAGCGAGTTAAATTATTCCTGCATTAATGCCATTATGTGGCTCATTTTATGGGATGAGTTGTTGACAACAGTTGTTCATGTCTCAATCTGTTTGGTGGTTCCTCTTCTTTTGAATAAGAACTATTAGTCAGAATCTGTTAGAATTTGCAGAAGTTTTAGTGGCCTGGATCCAGGACATGGAAATGGGTTGGCATCCCAAAAATCTGTGACAGATCAGCTTAGGAGGGAGCGAGAGGTAAGGGACTGCTTTGAGTATAGAGCTGCCTTTGCAAAAGGATGAAGGTAAAATATATCAAAACATGTTTTTTCTTATTTTCCCTTTTTCAGTCTCAGTGCTGCAGTTCCAAAACACTTTGGTGGAAAATAATCACCATAATCTTTGTCCCTGCTTCACCCAAACCATTCAAATCCTAAAATGAACTGTGTGATTTAAGTCCCACCAAACACCAGTAAGTCAGGGAAGAATTTCTTTTCCCATTCAGAGTCAGGGAGTGGTTGTGACCTTTCAAAGGGTTCTATGACTGATCTGAGCAGAATTTCAGAATTCAGGTTCCCATTCCTTTGTCATGCAGCATTAAAAACCCAACCAAAGAGTGGAATCATGGAATCATAGGATGGTTTGGGTGGGAGGGACATTAAAGCCCATCCAGTCTCACCCCCTGCCATGGGCAGGGACACCTTCCACTAGTCCAGGTTGCTCCAAGCCTCGTCCAACCTGGCCTTGGACACTTCCAGGGGCAGCCACAGCTTCTCTGGGTAACCTGTGCCAGGACCTCCCCACCCTCACAGGGAGGAATTTCTTCCAAATAACTCCATCAACAACAGTAAGGACAAGATTCTGCAGGAATCATCACAGGCCAGGCCTGAAAAGCAGTGTGAAAAGGCATCAGTGTGTGATGAAAACTGAGCACAGGAGTCCTTACCCTGTGCAGAGTGAGCAGCTTGATGTTTCAGGCACACATGAAACCTCCCAAAGAACGTGACTTAGCAAAGAGTTTTGTAAGGGTTTTTTTAGTTTTATAGTTTTTGGAGGGCTCTCTTGTCAGCACTTTAGAGCTTTAGTAAAAGTAACTGGTTATCAGCACATCAGCGAGTTCTGGTTTTCATGAGAACCCTTTCCACATCGTGGCTGTGGTTTGTGTTACAGTACACGCTCCCCTGTGCAATCACCCGGGGTGTCCACCTGTGAAAATGGAAAACCTGAGACCTCCCACTGCTCTCAGTGATTCTCAGGGTTCAGATGCATTTCAGAACAGAGACATTTCACTCCTTATCCCAGCCTGTGGTGCAGTCCTTGCTGCAGTGGGCACGGAGCCCTGACTGGTCACAGGGAATGCAAATTCCCACTGTTACAGGGGGTGGCTGCTCCCTCTGCCTTGGAGACCTTCACACTCTTACAAATGCTGCAGTGTTTTTAGGGGAGTAGGAAGTTTTATGAAAAATGGGAACTCCTGGGGCATTTCCATCCAATTTCCTGGTACCAGCAGGATGTTGGGTGACAGAACCAGGGAGAGGAAAGACTGGAAAGGCCTTCAGGAGGTCATTTAGGTACATTTTATTTTTCTCTCTAAGTGTAGCATTTTGCAATTGTGTTTAGTAAACATCCTCTTTCCATTTTTGACCCTTTTCCTACCTCTCCACATCACCTCCAATTCTGGTGCTTTTCTGAAACCCTTGCAAGCTTCTCAACCTGGTCTAGTGGGAGGTGTCCCTGCCCATGGGGGTTTGGAATTACTGAATCTGCAAGGTTCCCTCCAACTCAAACCATTCTGTGATTCTCACATGGAGCCATCTTTAACCACAAATATGCTCTCCGTGCCACCATCCATAACTAATTTAAATATTTAAAGGCATCAGGACCACAGCAACACATTCCAAATGTGGAAATATTTCTAAAAGAAAAGCTTTACGTAACAATATTGTTGGAGCGGTGTCCCTGATAACCATCTCTGCTCACATTGTTCTTGTTGCACAGTCACCCAGCTCTGTTCCACTCTCCATTCTTGAGTGACCACACAGAGATGCTACAGGAAGCAATGCCTCTAATTTCAGCTCTGCTCTGTGCTTGAGGGCTTTGCTCGCGATATCCGCACGTTCTAAAAATTCTGCTCACACTGGCGCTGTGGCAGAAACCACACTATGGAAACAGCTCAGTGCAGGGTGATGTGGGGTGTGCTCAGGGCTGGGGCTGCAGCCACTCTCTCCACAGCTACAGGGGGACACAGCAGCCCAGACAGGGAGTTCCCACCCCTGGAAGTGTCCAAGGGCGGCTTGGACGGGGCTTGGAGCAACCTGGGGGAGTGGAAGGTGTCCCTACCTGTGGATGGGCTTTAAGCTCCCTCCCAATCCAAACCACTCTGTGATGGCCAGCACTGTTTGGAGACGTGGCTCCTCACCCAGTGATCACAAGACAACATAAACAGTCGTCCACAATGGATAAATCACATTGACAGGACAATTGTCTTCTGGAAGCGCTTTATAAAGTCAGGATCACACCTGACACGTGCACTGAGGCTGGAGCAGTGCTGGGAGCACCAAAGAGGCACCCCAGGGGGAGCAGGGGAGACCACCCTCAGCCCCAGTGCTGGCTAAGCAGGAGAGGGGCACCCAGGCTGAAAAGTGGCAGCAGGGATGAATATATTTACGTGAGTCTCCAAACATACTGGAGTAATATAGGATAAAAAACAGAGCAGCAGAGCAGTGTGTTATTCCCTTTAAGGCACTTCATGCCCTGCATGGGGCTGGTCTGTCACGGGATTACAGGACTGTGGCAGAGCTGAGCTGGGCCCTGGTATCCCATCATTCCTGACTCAGACTCGTAGCTGGTGTTTGTACCTCTGATACACTTTACGTTTTCAAAGTGCTGAACAAACATGAACAAATAGTTCTGGCTGAGGTTTGGTGAGTCATGGTTTGTGCTGACTGAAACTCGTGTGATAGCAGGAGCAGCACCAGCAAACAGGGAAAGGCTGCTCAGAGCTGGGAAGGATGAAGTTGCACTTTCAGCACTTGCTGTACTTGGCAAACAGCAATTTCAGTCTAATAATTAATAAATCTGCATTTATCAGGACTGAAGTGAAACCAAAGTGTTCTTATCACCTTCCTCTGGCAGTGCTTCTCTCTGACTTAGGTTATGCTTCATATATTCAGGGAGGCCTCATCGTGGCCTTCCAGTGCCTTAAGGGGCTTATAAAAAAAGGAGGGAGAGGGGCTTTTTATGTAGGTAGAGACTGATAGGACAAGGGGGAATGGTTTCACACTGGCAGAGGGCAGGGGTAGATGGGATATTGGGCAGAAATTCTTGGCTGTGAGGGTGGTGAGGCCCTGGCACAGGTTGCCCAGAAAAACTGTGGCTGCCCCATCCCTGGAAGTGTCCAAGGCCAGGTTGGATGGGCTTGGAGCAACCTGGGACAGTGGAAGGTGTCCCTGCCCATGGCAGGGGGTGAGACTGGGTGAGCTTTAAGGTCCCTTCATTCCAACCCAAACCATCCTGTGATTCTGTGATTCTGTATTCAGGTATGTCAGTGTATGTGCACAGCAACCAGGACTCTTTCACAGTAAGATCCAACCTTTTGTACTACTTTGGGAAAGCAAATCACCCCTCCTTGTCCTCCTTTTGTAGATCCCAACTCCTACAGACACGGGCGCTCTCCTAAGATGTGTCCAGTTGTCACCACAGTGACTCCTGACACTGGAACTCTCAGCAATGAGTTTGCTCTTTAATATAATATATTTTTTAATATAAAAGTACCGCTGCAGAACCATGTTGCTGAGGTGTGAGCAGGGCTGGGGGGAAGCTGCAGCAGTTACGATCAGTATTAGTGTGGTAGTAGTGAAATGAGGTGGCAGCTCTCCAGCTCAAGGCCTGTGCAGCCTCCAGGAGCTGAGAGCAAGCACAGCCCCTGTGCAGTGCTGGGCACTGCTTAGCACGGCTGGGAAGAGCTCTGGAAAAAGGGAAGAGCCTTAAGTGGCCCAGTCCCAGGGAGTGATTGCAGGGCACAGACACTTTTCCTAAAATTGGACATTCTGGGGGTTAGTGAGCTTTAAAACATCAGAGAAAAAACACTCGTAGTTAGTTTTAGCTGTAGCATTTAGGGAGAAAAATGAAGTGACACTAACACCTGGAAAAACAAGGAGTTAGAAGTGAATTTTGAAAGGTTCTATTGTTTTGATTTTAATGGAACATTGATATATTTCATATGAGTTTCTTAGTGATTCGTTAAGACAACTATGACTGATATCTGAAAAGTGCAGCAAGAGGCCTGATTGCCTTCTCCTCAGCCTGGAGCACTGTGTGAGTGTGCAGGTGTCACCCAGCCTTACTCAGAATAAAAAAGAAAGGCTTGCAGAGCTCCTGTCTCCATCTGCAATTTAACCAACCTTCCAGCCAGTTCATTCACTTCCTCTCGCTCTCACCGATACTGGTTTGCATGGTCTGTGCTCCCCGAGCGAGCTCGGGGCTGTGCTGGCTCCCACTGACCACAACTGGTGCCCAAAGAGCAGGAACGACAGAGAAAGCAAAAAAACCCAACTTTGCATCAGATCTCCAAACTGTTTCCTTCAGTCACTGTGGCAAATCGGAGATTAAACCAGTCAGCTCTTCCTTTATTTTATCTTTTTTTTTTCTTTTCACCTACGTGTTGTTTTTTTTTTTTCTCTCTTTTTCTTTTTTTTTTCCCTTCCTTTGCACATTTTCCAACGTAGCCAGCGTGGAGGCGAGGCACATCAAGGCAGAGATGGGGAGTGAAAGAGCCCTTGTGCTGGACAGGCTAGCGAGCAACGTGGCAAAGAGGAAAAGCTCAATGCCTCAGAAATTTATTGGTAAGAACAAAACCCCTTTTCATCCGCAACGTGCGAGTCGGTCACCTCGGGGACAATGTCTCTGCTTCTTTTAAATACCCTGCTCAGCCTTAGCATCTAGTGCAAAAGAATAAAGTAACTTGGGTTATTCTGATGGGGTTTTAGTGATTTGTCGTAGGGGGTTGATTAAAATATAAAGAATTTACTCTGTTGGCTGCTTAAACTGGGTGGAAGCTGCTGTTGTGCTTTGTGTTTATTTATGTTGTTGGTTTATAAATATATTTATATTTATAAATGCTGTTTCACATGCTGTTTCCATACCTGTGCATTTGAAATGTTCTCTGCTAGGATCTAGAACAGGCAAAGAACAGGAAGGGTAATGTTTTCTCAGCAGGAGCTGAAGCTTCCTGCAGGATTCCTGTGTGCAATAAGGCCTAAAGACAGAAAAGTATTGGATTTCTGTTAGTCATCCTCCTAAATTTGGCTATGATTAAAAAAATATCAGATCCTTTCTTGTGGTAATTTAAGCAACCAGATGTTTCCATAGCATTTTCTTTGCATTTAATTGTACGTGATCAGAGTTATGCACGTCGGGGATCTTAAATACTCGTTGGGCAGGTTCTGTGTTCCAGAGCACGCCAGATCCTCTTGGCCAGTCTGATTTCATCAACTCGCCTTTAAAGAGAATAAAACACCAGTCTGTGTCCTGAGGAAAGCCCTGAGTCAGCAGCTGTATAATCCTGGTGCTGCTGAAGCCTTATTTGTGCTGTTTGTATGGTTATTTACGGTGCCAAGTGCTGCTGTTTTGGCTCGGTATAAGGTTCACCTTCAGTGGTGTTCCCATGAGTGGGAGTGCAGGGGGGGCTCCCTGGGCTGCTGCAGCCACATCCACCTGGCAGGGGGGTGTGCAGAGCACCTGTCCTGGTAAAGGTGTGCTCCTGGGCCCACCCCAGGGAAAGGTGTGTGCACTCCTGGGTCCATCCACTCGGGAAAACAACTCCATTTTTGAAGGTAACGTAGCTCTTAGTGGGTTTGTGGGGTAGCACTGGGCTTTCATCTACGAGAAGTGAACTCTTTTATTTATTTATTTAGTCTCAGTGTGGCTTTCTGAAGGTCACCTTGTTGCACAGCCACACCACCTGAGTGCCTTTGGTGCTCAGAACTGAAACTGGGGCTGTGGGGCTCGGCCATGTGCTGTGATTCAAAAAGGAATGCTAATGCAAATGGCTTTGTAATTCTTTAGCTTCCTTTTTTCCCTTTTTTTTTTTTTTTACCTTTTTTCCAGCTCTCTTGGTGTACAATTGGCACCAGTTTGATCTGTAGGTATTTTATCAAACACATCTGCAGCAGGATGCACCCCAGTGGTGTGTGGCTAAAGTTCAGAACTAGTGGGGTTTGGGTTTGCTTTGCCAGCCTGTGAGTTAATGTGTGGCACAGACCCTGTGGGATTTGTGCTGGTGCTGAGTGGCACCAACTGGCACTGCACACACAGGTGATTTTGTGGAGAAAGCTGCAGAACCCAAAGGCACAAAATAACCCATTTCTGAAACTTGCTGTTTTTCTAGACTTTCTGTGCTTGTTCTTGTTGAGTAACATGTGAAAAAACTACCCCCTTGTCCCTTTTATCCCTGGGAAGGATGTTTTCAGGAGCAGGCTGTACGACCTTGGCCTGACTCCTGTGCCTCTCTGACCTGTCCTTGTCAGAGCCCGGATCTGCCAGGCCAGCACGGGAATTCCTTGGGAAATCTGGGAATGAGTGCTGATGTTTCATTTTGTCAGGAAGCAGGGACAGGGATGTGTACTAACAAGGCATCTTTGTTTGGCCCGTTGCTCTGAATGAAGTCCATTGATGGGAAGAAGAAAACCCTTTATTATAGTTGGAGGGCTCTGCAGAGATTCAGACAAGCACCAGGAGTCTTGCCCACTTTCTTTTTCACATCTCCATCCCCAGTAGCTGCCTCGGGTGCACCAGTACAAGTCCCACACAAGGACAGGGACCAGCAGAGCCTGCACTTGACCCTTCACCTCTGCACCAGGCCCCTCTTCAGAGCCTTCTCCTGGGGGTGGATCCGGGGGGGACCTAAAAATCCACCAGCACAGTGGAATCACAGAGCACTGTGAGACCCTAATGATCATTCAGGACCTGGACTCAATGATCCTTGTGAATCCCTTCCAACTCAGGATATTCCATGATTCTGTGGCCACGCGTCGTGTTTTTGTGCGTTACCTTTTGACTTTGGCTTATTTAACCCCAAAACGTTTAGGGAATTCCTGTCTATTTTTTGCTTTTGTTGCCTTTTTTATTTTTACATTTCAAATTTATTCACATCTTTCTCATGCCTGCAGCTGGTTTTGTGAGTCACCCAAACGCGCTGCAGCGCTTTGTTTCCTTCCACGTGAAGCTGGACGGCGAGCGGTGCTGAGGGCTGGGAGCAGTTACACTCTTGTGGTTCACTAACCTTTTGGAGTGTTTTAGAAGAGAAACGTGAGCTCCTGGTTTTCTGCCTGTGCAGTGAAACCCCACGAGTTTCATACACATTGAGTCATGGTGTTGACAGGTGACTGATAAACATCTGCACCACTCGAGTTACCGTAACTGAGAGATTCGTGGATCCGACATTTGTGAGTCCCTTGCACACAAAACCTTTCATCTGCTCCTTTCTTTTGTTTTTTTTTTGTTTTTTTTTTTTTAAGCTAAGAACAATTTTATGGTTTAAGTAACCACAGAATTCGGTTGCTTATTTCTAGACATTCACCCCAAAAATTAGTTTAGTGCTTTTTGGGTGCAGTTTTATTTCCTCCTTGCACCAGTTGTGTGGTGCTGCCAAAAGGTGTGAGCAGGATTTCAGGTGGACTGTCCCTCCCTTCTGTCCAGTCCAGAGCTTCCAGAGCCCCAGCACACCCAGAGAAAAACTGTTTTACTAACCCTTTATCAAGTGACCCTAAGTGTGATTTTTGACACCTATATATATATCTGCCAGTGTTAGATTACCTGAAAGCTTGTGTAGAGGTCCAAGAACCCAGGTGTGGTGCACAGGAAGCTGTAGCTGTCAGAGGACAGTGGGGAAAACTGACTTCAGTGTCCAAGGACGTATCACAGATGGGTCTATCAGAAAGTACCCTCAAAGCCTCCCTTCTTAGACTGGTCTGCTTCCAAGCCTCAACTTTAAAAAGTAACAACCACACACACAAAAAAAACCCCACCGAAAAGCTACTTGTATTTACAAACAGCCTCTTTCAGCAGAGAACATTTCATGCCTCTTGACTTCCCAGTGACTTCTGCCCTTTAGAAGAGGCATCGTGGGGTTTAAATCCTCCTTTACCCACCCAGGTAACTCTGAGCTCTGCTCCCTCACAGGCGAGAAGCGGCCGAGTTTCGATGTCAGCTACAGCGCGGGTTTCCTGTACGAGAAGGAGAGCGAGCTGATGCACGGGCGCATGATGGACCAGGCCATCAACAACGCCATCACCTACCTGGGGGCCGAGGCCCTGCGCCCGCTGGTGCAGACCCCGCCGGCACCCACGGCCGAGATGGTGCCGGTGATCAGCAGCCTGTACCCGCTGCCGCTGCCCCGCGCCGACGTCCCCAACGGCGCCGCGCCCGAGCCCGGCCACGGCCACCTCAGGGACAAGAGCCTGTCATCCGACAGGGGCCTCTCCCCCAACAACAGCGGCCACGACTCCACGGACACTGACAGCAACCACGAGGAGCGGCCCAACGCCTCCTTCCCCCAGGGCCAGGGCATCCCCGCCCCGGCCCGCAACGGCCTCCCGGCCCTGAAGGATTTCCCCAGGCCCTACGACATCCTCAAGCCGCCCGCCCTGTGCCCGCGCGACGCCTTCAAGGTGCTCAACAAGGACGGGGAGCCCATCGGGGTGTTCCGCTGCGACCACTGCCGCGTGCTCTTCCTGGATTACGTCATGTTCACCATCCACATGGGCTGCCACGGATTCCGAGACCCCTTCGAGTGCAACGTCTGCGGCTACCGGAGCCACGACCGCTACGAGTTCTCCTCGCACATCGCCCGGGGGGAGCACAGGGTCGTGCTCAAGTGAAGGGACCCCGGCTCTCCGAGGGCTCTCCGAGGGCAGGGGCCGTGTTTTCCCGTCCCAGGGGAGGCTCGGCTGGTTGGGTTTTTAATTAGTGTAACGAAATTTCCCGAGTATTTTTCTAGGCCAGTTTTAAGCGTGTCACGGGGAGGTGACACCTCTGTAAATTCTTTCCCGATAATTCAGTGTTCTGTAGCATCTCTGCCTGGCTGCTGTGGCGAGCAGGACTGTGGGAAACACCCGGGGCAGAGACTGGTTTTGATATGAACTTTATTTTTGTGAAACTTCAGAGCCATTTGCGATGTTTTCAATTTTTAGCGTGTGTTTGTTTTTATAGGGTTTGCTTTAACTCAGCACAAAAGGGTTTCTTGGCAGCTCCCCTGCTTGCTCAGGTGTTTGGTCAGAGGTGTGTTGGAGGAGCTTTTCCTAGTTATAATTCTCATATGGTCTTCCAGTGGCTCATCACCAAAACAAGGAAAGCAAGGGCAGGAAAAGGGAGGGATTTTTAATTCCTCCTTCAGGCTTTTCCCCTAAGCCCTGATGAGTGTGTGGCCCTACCACACTTTCATTGTTCTTACCCCTTTTGTTCTGTTTCTTTAATGTCACTCCCACCCAGCAAGAGCAAAATAAGAAATGAGACCTATTTGGGGTTGGGATTTTTTAACAATAAGCATTTTTGGGATACCCAGTGAGGTCACTGGTTGGCTCATCCATGTAGGCTGGGGGAAATCCCGATTTTCATTGCTGGAAACTCCTTCTTTCTCATGGGTGCCATGAACAAGGATGAAGCTGTGCTGTGTGTTGTGCCTCTGCCTTGCTCCTGCTGTGCTCCAGCAGCAGGACACGTGGCTGTGCCATTCCATGTCCCTATGGACAGTCCTGGGATGGGAGCGGGAGCGGGTGGGACCTGCAGGTGTGTGGGAGCTGCACCAGGACATCCCTTGGCAGGAGATGCTGCTCCACACCCTGAGCAGGTGCCTCCCTTTGAAGCTGGTTTATAAAACAATTCCTTGGAACTCCTCCCTGCTCCGCAGCCCTGTCGGTGTCCCTGTGCTGGAGAGGGATTTGGGAACGGCTTTGCTGAGCGAAGGTTTATTCTTTGTGAAGTATTTTTGTACCCCCTAGTTAGGAGTGTTCTGATGGACTTTCTGCATCCCTTGTGTGGTTTGAGAGCTGCGTTGCTTTTGTGTTATCCCTGGTGATCCAGCTGCTTCCCTGAGGGAAGGCTGGAGATTTCAGGGTCAAGAAATACCGAATTCCACTCCCTCTGCCTCTTTTGGCTCAAGTGTTTCCTCACTAAGAATTTTAAGGTACAAAAAAAAAAAAGACTACATTAATTTTTCCCACTAATGGTAGATCTGGAGGGGGATAACTCAGCCTGCAGAGTGTCCAGAGTGCTGTGGAAGAGCTAATCCAGGATCCTGCTATCCCTGGGGCTCAGGAGAACTGTTTTGCTGTTATGTGTGGAGCTGTAAAGCACGTTTAGGATCTTTCCCAGTTTCCCATCTGAGGCAGGTTTGGCTCTTCCCCAATGGACACTTGTGTCATATTGTGACAAACACTCCCCCCAAGAGAGGCTGCGGTTCCACCAACAATCCACCCCAAGGGTTAAACCTTTGGGCCTGGAAAAGAGAGGGAAAGGGAGGGAAGGAATTCCCAGAGGACAAAGAGAAACAGTTCTACTGCTGCTCTGACATTTCTGTGATAGTTTGGGGAATCTAAGTTCGACGTTTTTAGGACATTGTGGTTGTCTTTATCAACTTCTAATTTTGTCACAAGCTTGCTTTTCAATGGCTTAGTTTTCAACACCAAAGAATTGTCAATAAATGAATAAAATACCTAAATAATGACAATGTGCTGACTTGAGGGCAGGCAAAGGCAGGTTCTTCAAGGAACCTGCACACCTGGAGCCATCCAAAAATCTGATTTTCCATAAGTGGATTGAGTAATGGAGCCCCTTTTAAACCACTTTTGTAGGATTCACTAAAGAACACACTTGAATTTTCCCTTCACCCCAATCCCACAGCGCTGCCCTGGGAGGTGGGAACCCCATGGGGCTGTGCCTGGACATCGAGGGGCTGCCTCGGTCCTGGGTGGGTCTCTGAGCTCAGAGGAGCTTTGGACACCACCTCATCTGGGAAAACAGAGGGGAAAACCACTGCTGTTGGTTGAGAGCCTGAGCTATTCTGCTCCTGGTTTGTTATTTTGGTCCAGAACAGATTTGGGTTTGGGGCATTCTCTGGCCCGTGGTGTGTCCGCCTCGCTTGGTTCTTCGTTTCCTGATGAACTGCGCCCCAACAGTCGCAGGAGAGGCCCCGGGGAAGGAGCTTTCAGCACCAAGAAACGAGTCTCTGGTGCTTAAAGGTTTGCTGAAGTTTTTAAAAATTTCAGTAAACCCCTGTGTGCTAAAGCAGAGCTGAGGAGTGGGAATGGGATCCGGGGAGTGGGTTTGGAGCACCAGGGCTGGAGCTGGGACGTGTGAACCAGCCGGGGGTGATGGGACTGTGGCTGTGGTGCATCCCCCGGTGGGCTGAGCCACGGTGGGGCCTGTGCTCAGCACAACCAGTTACTCAGTGGAGTAACTGATACACTCGGAGGTGTAAACTAACGCTGCCTGTTCCTCCAGCTGCTGGGAAATGGTGTTGGACTCAGCTGTGGTTAATAGGGGAACGATAAAACCCGAGAGCCGCGGGGTGTGGGCAGCTCAGCCCCACGCCCGGACCGCGGGGTGGGCTCGGGGCTTCCGTGGGATGCCGGGAGCTGCACCCACCGTGCGGGAAAGCGATGGAAACATCCCGGCGGCGGGAGGGTGGAGGCTCACACCACCCGCAGCCCTCTTAACACCCGCCTTACCAGGCTGACGTTGCTCGCCCTTGTTTCATTCCCCCCCGACACCTTCTGCCGCAAGGGCTGGACGCGCTTGAGAAACAGAAACGAAAAAAAAAAAAAAACAACCCAAAAGAAAGTCAGAGGATTCTTTTTTTTCTCTTTTTCCTCCACTTCCTTCCCAGCCAGGGGTGGCGACCAAAGCGCCGAGGAGGTCTTTTCCCCTCGCTGTGCCAGCGCTGGGTGCGACGGTGCCAGCCCCGACAGCCCCCGGGGGCTCAGTCTCACGGCGTCTTCCCATCCCGGCTTTTCCCTGATCCAAACTCCCTCATCCCTCTGCTGCCTGGAACCAACCCCCTTTCAAGGCTTACAGAAACCTTCAGTTGGTGTTGTGACAGAGCGATCCTTATCTGCTGATAGCTGTAATCGTGACAGAGCACAGAGGAACTGGTTTCCCCCGCCGTCGTGTCGAAACACGCTTCCTAACGCCCAAAAAAATCCCATAAAACTCTTCCGGGTGCCGCGCCGCATCCTTGGAGCATCCCGGCCGGCTCCTGCTCCCCCGCGGGGAGCGGCCGAGCTCGCAAACCCCGGCGGGGCCGGGAGGGGACAGCGGGCGAGGGAGGTCTGAGTCAGCGGCGGCACCTCCCCCGTGTCCCCGTCCCCAGCCGTGCCCTGAGTCACGGGCCCCGCCGGCGTTTTCCCACCCTCCGCGTGGGCCGGCTTCCCAAATCCGGGGGGCACGGGGCCAGCAGAGCCACCTCTGTGCTGAGTGACAGCCTTGGAAGTGTCCCCAGCGCTGGCACCGCCACGGGGGGATTCTCTGCAGCCCCGGGGGTCCCGCCGGGACGCGCGGGAGCAACACAAGGGCAGGGCCAGGACTGTCATCGGGGCACCACGACGGGGGCAAGCGGGTTCATGTCACGCCTGGTGCCCCCCTCGCTGCGCCGGGAGAGAAGTGAAGCCCCCGGGGAGCTCCCGAACCGTCCCCTTCGTCCCCTCCGGCCGGGTTATATCTGGCGCCACATTTGCATGGCAGCGAGCCGGCACCTGGCAGCGAAATCCTCGGGGGATCGGGGACATGGGGAGCGGCTGGCGACTGTCACACCCTGGGGGCAGGAAAGTCCCAGCAGACAATTGTTTTTCAGAAGAATCTGCTTCCGACCCGCCCGGCTCCGGCCGCTCCAGCGCGGCACCCGCGGAGCTGCGGCGGTGGTGGGATGGGGATGGATGGTGGTCCTGGGCTCGGGCTGCTGCTCCATGGCCACGGCGGGTGCTCCAGGGTGGGAGGTGATGCTCCTCAGCCTCAGGCATGACCCAGGTGCCCCCCACAGATTGGGGATACCCCCATCACCAGCAGCTCCCTGTTCTCCCCTCGCTCTGCCCGGGACCCCCGTGAGGGGGGGCTGTGATTGGGGCTGAGGCCATCACAGGCTGCTCCCCCCAGACCCCGCTGCCTCTCGCCCGCAGGGAGAGCTGCGGCTCATCCTGCTCCCCCCAGTGCCCCCAGTACCAGCCCCATTGCTGCTTCCCTGGGCACCGGGGGTGTCTGGGGGGGGGGTGTCCTGTCCTCCCTCAGCCCCGTTTCCCACAGCTGTGACTCTGTGCCCAGGGGGCTGAGCCGCAACCAGGGGCCCCCCCTTGTTGCTCCCCGGCGCCGGGCACAGCCCCCCCCATCCCTTCTCCCCGTCCTGCCCCCCAGAGTGGAGAAAGTTAGTCAAATCTGCAGAAACCGCAGCGGGGGGAGAGGCAGCGACTCTGTCACCGCTTTGATGTCACTCCTGCACGTCCCACAGGTGCTGCCATGGCCCCGGGGCCGCGGTCCCACCGCCGCTTTGCCATTAACTCGTGCGAGAAGGGGGGATAATGCAAAAATATTTCCTCTCCCCCCCCTACACACACACACCCGCCCCCATCCTGTCCCCGAGGTCCCCGGAGCCGGCGGGGCCCGGAGAGGCCACGTGCGAGGCACACGGAGCTGCAGCCGCCACCCAGCCCTCGCACGTGGGGCCGGGGGTCCCGGCAGGGTCCCGGGGGGCTGCGCCGGGGGAGGAACCGGGCAGGTTTGTGAGCAGCGGCCCCGCGGGGTTGGTTCGTGCCGGGCCTCCTGCGGTTTCCCCCCTGCGCTCCCCTCCCGGAGCTGTCACGCCAAGCGCCCACGCACCATCACCCGGGGCACACCGACCCTGCCATCGCCCCCCCCGAGCCGGAGGGGAGCCCCCCGGGGACAGCGTGGGGTGCCGGGGTTCCCTGTTCCCAGCCTTTGCCATGCACCCCATCTCCACTTCGCCCCGGTTCCCTTTGCACCCCCTGTGCCCCCTCTGAACACACCACACCCCCCTCTCACCCTGCTCCCCCCTCCGCCACCTCCTGCACCCCTCGTGCTGCCCCGGGGCCGTGGGGCTCAGTGCTGGAGGGGGGTGACTCAGGACTCCCCCCCCGTGGGACATTCCCGACCCCACAGCACTGAAGGAGGACTCGGGAAGGAGGACACCGCCTCTGGCAGCCGGGGGGTGGCCGGGGCGGGTCTCCTGGGGGCCACACGCCCTCGGGTGCCCCAGGGAGGGGGAGGCCCTTCCCAGCCCCGTCACGGCCGCCGCTGTCCCGGAGGAAGCCGCTCCGCGTTGCTCACCCGGCGCTGGTTACAAACACCGCTCCCACTTCAGGTTTAATGCGGCGGCGGCCGCGGGCGCTATTTGGGGCCGGGGGCGGGACAGAAACCCCGCGCGGGGTCCCGGCCCCGAGCCCCCCGCCCCCGAGCCGCCCTCCCGGGGGTGGGCTGGGCGCTGCCCGGGGCTGTTCTAGGGGGGCTATTTGAAGCCCAGGAGCCGCACGCCCGCCTTGACCTTCCGTGACTTCCAGCGGAGCAGGCGGATGGCGCGGAGCCCGAAGCGCAGCACCGCGTCGTACTTGAACACCAGCTTGTAGAAGGCGTCGGTGACCAGGGCGCCGCTGGGGTCGGCGTGTTTGAGCGCGGCCATGGGCGTGTACGCCACGTTCGTCTGGTGCCGGAACGGCGGCCGGGCTGCCTCGATCACCCGCAGGGTGTGCTGCACG